CCATGGTAGGGCCTGCTGACTCCATAGATCTCCAGCGGCTTGCAGCGTATCCAGATGACAGAGCTGCCCAGCGCGGCTAGCACGGAGGTCAAGATGATGAACTTGATGGCCTGGGTGATGTTCAGGTTGAAGCGTTTGGCAATGTAGCCGCCCAGGAGGAGCCCGCCCGCTGCAGCCGGGATGATCGCTAGGCCTGGGGGGGGGGGGGGCACACGGGAGAGAAAAGAGATGATTTACAGGCGAGGCAGCATGGTGAAATCAGGCACTCGTCCAAATAATGAAAGTGAAAAAACTGGCATTTTTCTATAGGATTGGGAATTTTTATCAAGCTTTTTTTTGGCTTAACTCCTTTAATACCCTTTAAAGAAGACATTTCTGTGGGGATTTTACTGAAAAATATTGATTAAAGGCATATAAAAGATGTAAATGTTCAGTTTCCACGGACTCTCAAGCTAAGGAAATAACTTTGGAGACCATTTTCTCGCTAATTTTACCTCTGAAACCAGACGCCCCCCACCTCCTTCAATCGCCAAAACCTTGACTTGTATCCAAGATAAATGGATATTTTTTTCATCAAAACCAAAGCAAATGGACTGGCTTTATGATGGTACCAATAACTCCATAGTCGGGACATATATAACTAAAAGAGGTTGAACGTTGGGGAGGGAGGAAGGGAATATCAATAATTGGTGCAGTTCTAGAGAAAAAAACCTACATTTCCATAAATAAAACACTCGCAAAAATAAACTCATGCAAATAGCTATAGTTATCGACCTGACCTAAGATTAGGAAGTTGGTCAATAAAACACGCATAAAAATAGGCTTGTACAAAAAGTTATTAGCAGTTTCTGACCTGACTAAAGAATGGTTGGACTCTGTGTACTTTTCCCAATATGCAGCTTTAGGGTGGGTAGGTTATTTTCTTTAGAGCAATAAGCTTCTCATCCAAAATGAAATTCATATCTTTAATTCTTATCCTGCGTCTGTGCCCAGATGCGTATCTTATCAGCAACCGATTATGTCGGACGTGCCGGGCAGACAGCCGGGGTCACTTAGTGTGTACTGTTGGTGTGCAGCGCGCGCGCCGGGAAACGTGTGTTTTCGCCATGAATACCGCGGGAGTGTGTTAACCGATGATGAAAATAACACTCAATCTTTCATAGCTTTCTATTTATAAAGTGTTACAAACACATGAATAACCCCCTCTCACAAGCTGGTAAGACATTACGAGTAGTTACGCCCATTCAAATAACCTTTCTGGATGCTTTTGTTGTTATGAATGACCTGAGGTTCGAAAGGGGATAATCTAGGTCAATTTCTGAATGTTTTACACTCAATTGTTCTTTGTACGAGCACAATGGTATTCAAAACTATCAAACAAGCTTATTTTTTATCAGGTTGTATCATTTCATACAAAATCAAGCTCATTTGAAATATTTTGTATAGAAAAATGGAAGTCTTGTTTCCTGACTATCCTTTCGAGCTCCTCATGTCTAAGTGGGTCAATTTCTTCTATAATTTCATTGGACGAACATCTAGAGCTACCAACTTGGCACGTTTTGAATGAGACGTATGCCTCGATTACGAACCAACGCGGACGGTTCTAGAAGAAGGCCACAAACGCACACAAACTCAAGCAGACTGACGCACACACACTTGACCTGCGTGAATGGGGATCCGACTCGGGACCCGAATGACACGTAAGAGGATGCGCGCTTGCGCTGAGCCAGGGGCTACACTGATTCGGGACCAGAACGTAGGCAAGGTGCCGAAATAGGCTTATCGGGCGACATAAACCCGGCTCCCGCAGGATGAGGGTTAAAAGCGTGCCGACAAAATGAGTTACTACTCGGATTCAAGCCTGACTGAAATATATATATATATCATGTGAAGTTTTTACAATTTATAAGGGTTAGTACGAAATAATAAAAGGAATGTTAAAGTTAAAGAATATGGCATCAATAGAAATTCTACAAATTTGACCCTAGTGTCAACATTTGGCCAATATCTCCATTAGCGGATTGCAAGAGGTAACTCAATTTGTTAGCACGTCTCACATGTCTCCATCCTTGCCAGATATTGACATGACTCTTCGTAAGACGAAATACTTTTATCTATAAAGGAAAGTGTCTATAAAAAAGATCTTGTCATACCTGAGACAATGGCAGCCCTGGATGCCGAGATGCCGTACTCGTTCTCGACAAATTTGGGCAGGAAGGCAGCGATGCCGGAGAGAAACATTCCTTCGACGGTCATGCCGAGCGTGATGAACACAAAGCAGGGGTTGCGAAGCAGCGTGAAAACGATCCACACAGCTCGCAGCTCTTTCAGCTTGGTGGGCAACGGGACCGACGTGGAAGCAGCGGCAGACGGCTGACCCTGGTGGGCCTGGGAAATTCGCTTGCGCCTAACTTCTTTGCTGGTCGGAAGTTCGGCCCCGAAGAGAGACAGCGGTATGGAGACGACCAGCTGCAGGGCGGCTGCGATCCCTGGGGCCAGCCACCAGGCGCCAAGCCAGCGCGTGTCGCTGGGCGTGAGCTCCACGTGGTCCACCGTGTCAAAGTCGACATACACGTTGAGGAGCTGGCCTCCTACAATGTAGCCCAGCCCCGAGCCCAGGATGTTGCAGCCGTAGACGAAGCCCAGGTAGAGGGGCGTCTTTTTGGGCATGACACTGTCATCGATGAGCGAGATACCGACTGTCAGCATGGTGGTGCCCCCAATGCCGTGAAGCAGCTGCCCTAGGAGGAACACGTAGAAATAGTTGCCTAGCCTCGGGTTGGACCTAGTCGCCGAGCAGCTGCTGTTGCTGCTCGTCTCGTCCACGCAGATTTTGTCGGCCGAGATCCCAAGGGAGTACTGGCCTGTGGCAAAGTGCGGCACCGTCATGACGAATGAGCCCAATGCCGATGCAAACACAGCCACAGAGATCATGCGCGCCTTTCGCTTGCCCGAGCCATAGTAGCCAATGACCACGGCCAGCACCGCCGCCGAGATGTCGTAGGAGCTGGCCAGGAAGCCCACGTTTGCGCTCTGAAGGTCAAACCTACGCTCGATGGAGGAAACGTTCACGTTGTTCACTCCATTCACCACAAAACCTAGAGTAGGAGATTCAAAAAGTTCAGCATACGACATAACCAATAAAACATGGATTCCAACATACCATATACTGTCAAAATTGGGAAAGATTGCCATCCATTGCCAAGAAGAAAAAAAAAATCGAAAGGGGGAAAACATGTTTTTTTTGTGATAGTTTGTTTTGTTTTAATAAGAGTTTTACGGCGCTTGCAACACAAGGTCATATGAGTGCCTAAGATTAGAGGTGTAACAAAAGAGTAACAAACACAAAAAAGACGGAGGAGAGATAAGGCCAATAGATGTTTGATAGAAAAGAAAGAGCAAATCAAACCAGAGCACCCACCAACCACCCACTTAGTAAGAGTTTCACGGCACTTGCAACACAATAAGCATACCTGCCAACATTGCCTGGGCCAAAATCTGTAGTTGGGACACAAATTTTTGTCCAAAAATCTGTAGTTGACCTAAAAAATCTGTAGTAGGCTATATTACCTCTTGTCGCATACTTAATTTGGGTCCCTTATCAATATTTTATTTTGACCCACATCAAATATGCATGATTGTGTTTGCGACTTCAAACAAATGTAGAAAATTACAACAACAACAACAACAAAAAGACAAATATGAAAACTACCAGAGCCATTTACCCTATTAGTAGTTGTTGCAGTACATGTCCTATTCATACCTGCACGCACACACACAGATGAAACCAACCCCCCCCC